GATCAGATGTATCATGAGAGGACGAAACACATTGATGTGAAGTATCACTTCATTCGGAATATCATTGCTGAAGAAAAGGTCCTTATTCAGAAAATCAATACCAAGGACAATCCAACTGACATGTTTATGAAACCTCTTCCAGTTTACAAGTTTAAGCAGTGCTTGGGCTTGGTTGGTGTTCGTTGTATGTGATTTGGCCCATTGGAGTTTATGTGAAGAAGGTAGAGCAATTTTACTATTGTCGATGGTAGGACTAGAAATTATGCCAAGGTAGAGATTTGTTGATTTTTCCAACGGGCGTAATGTTTGACCGTGGCAGAATTCTTTCGTCTCACATTGTAGCAGATAGCAGGAAGGCTTCGTTGGAGAGCCTATAAATAGAAGGGGTTTATGAAGGAATCAAGTGCACCACTCAAGAGAGTATTATATGGGCTATTAGTTTCTTGAGTCATCTAAGCCATTTAGTCAAATATTTTAGACTCTCTTGTTTTGAGTTTAAGAATATTTCTTAAACCTTTTATAAGTGCCATTTTGGCCTATGAACCACTTTCCTACGGTTTTTGTATTTTTTCTTCATAGTAGAAATATTGTTCCTACCTCGCCCGTGGACGTAGATCAATTTGATCGAACCACGTAAATTTCTGTATCTTTTATTTTGCTTTGTTATTTGTCTTTATTGGGTTGTCACAACCCTTTTATATGGTTGATTTTACGGCCTAATTATTATATGGCTGGTATCTACCGCCTAATCATTATATGGTCGGTTATACCGCCTATTTTGTTCTAACTTTAGTTTATTTATTCCTGGGTCAGTCCTAACAATATCAGATGATCTACTGCGCATGAATTCAAAGGTACTAGCAGGAATTAAGAAAGAGATTCAGTGAAACAAACTTCGTACCTTTCCAGGAGAAATGTTCAAGGACACATCTTTCAGAATTTGTACATTTGGCCGACATGGATAACTGAAGCTAACATTTTGGAATTCAAGGTCACCTCTTAGATTTTTCGGTGTCATGCCCGTTGTGCTCCTAGAACCATTTGTCTCTTTGCTGTCAAAAATGTTATACAATGAACTAGCCAAAGCAGAGACTTTATTTGCATCTAATGTCGTACCATTGGCTTGTGCTATTCCTGCTGCTGAGGCTATGAAAGCCAAGTAAACCTGCAATCACAGGCCAGAGCTCCGAATTTTACACTTAAACTTCAATGAGAAAAAGAAAGTATAATTGCGCTACCCACCTTGAAAAGTTCTGCCAGAGTTGCTTACTTTTGTTCAACAAGAACGGAACCAATGTAGAAACACAGGGCACTTGTGAAAAAGTATCCAAATTGAGAAATGCCAAAGTTGATACTTATAATTCCTAGTCGGATCCAGTGTGTCATTTTGGTGCCAGATTTTTTCCGATATAACTCCATCACCTTATCTTCTGCACAAATTGATGCGACTGTTCTTATATTTCCAATGGCATCACTTGCAACTTGACTTTGCTCAGTATAAATAAGCTGAAAACAAGTGAAAATTTTGTTAAGTTGGTATGCTGTACAATCCTTATTCATGCTGCACTGTGAATACAAATATCATCTGATCAACCTCAGCATCTGCAGCAAATCTTTTGAGGAATTTTGTTTGAATGAAGCTTAGCATTGCCAACGTGGTACACAATGCGATAAGTATCAATGCCAACATGCAGTTCTCCATTAAAGCTATGAACAATCCAGCAAAAACTGTTGATATATTTTGGATAAGGAGGGACAAGCCATCTTTCAGAAGGCTCTGCAACATTGCAGCATTGCAAGAGAGCCTTGCACCAACCGAACCACTGAGATTAAGCAATAAAAGAAGAAAATTTAGAAAAGTTCTCTACAACTTTGAATAACGAGTAAGCAACTAAGCAATTTTCCTTGAATTTGAAGGATCATCAAACCAGCAAATTTCTCGATGAACAATCTTGTCAAATGATAGCAATGAAATTTGCTTTATCAGCTTACCACTTGCAGCTCCAAATGAATAGTTTTGGGATAATACTGCTAAGAATGTGATACTGCCTATAAAGACATACATTTGTGCCCAATAACTTGAATCTTTTTCTTGCTGACTAGGAGGTTCATAAAAAATTGTTATAGCTGTTGCGCATAGGAACCCATATACTGGAAATGCTATACCATGAACTATTGCAGAAAATGTTCCAATCAGTAAAATTGGGACAACATCTTTGCATTGGTTAGCAAGCCACTTAATTGAAAAGGTTGAATGCTTTTGAAATTTGTGTTCCTTTTTTATTTCATTTTCTCTGCAACTAACCTGAGTACTAATACCAGTATATTTTCTAGAAGAATGATTAGTACTTGATAAACTTGCTCTCGTAATACTCTCAGTGGATGACAACAGACCCTCAAAATTTTCCATTGTCTCAGTGATGTACTTTCTTGTTTCTCCATTCATCCGTTTGGAATTCTCAACTTGATTTTTCCCTTGTGAGCTAACTAGTTTGGAATAGTGCCCATCTTGATTTCTGATTAATTCAGCATGAGTTCCTAAATAGAAGACATGAAAGAGTTAGTAATGTTATCAGATAAATATTTTGACATAGTTACCTTGCTCCACAATTTTTCCCTGATGCATAACTGCAATACTGTCAACGTTTCAACACTTGATAAACTGTGAGTAACGAAGATTTCATCATAGATTGCTTTTTCAGTTTTTGTGTCCAATGCACTTGTTATTTCATCAAGAAGGAAAACTGTAGGTCCTTTAGAATTATCCTAGCAATAGTAATTCTCTGCTTTTGCCCACCAGAGAGTTGAGCTCCGAGCTTGCCTACCACGGTGTCTAGACCCTGATAAAAATCTTACATGATATATTTCCATGTCCGGTGATATAAAATCAAATATCCAGTAACTTATATCAACATTAAGAGTGATCTAGTCAAATCTTTTCTGTATTATTTTGTAATATTTACACCAACAGAAGCTTGTTCATCTCATCATGTATTTACAAAAAATTAAGGGAGGAATAAAGAAACAAAAGTGTTCACCAGTGGTAAGTCTTTGATGAAGGCTGCAGCAGAAGAAGACTGAAGGGCTTTGTTGATTTCATCTTCTGTGGCATTTTCCTTTCCATATGCTATGTTCTCTCTTATTGTTGTGGCAAATAATACTGGTTCCTGACTGACTAAACCTATCTTTTCCCTTAGCCACCTGAGCTGTAATCTCTTCACACTGACACCATCTATTTGTACTTCACCAGCATCTGGATCGTAAAACCTTTCTAGTAAACTGATCACTGTTGACTTCCCACATCCGCTTTTCCCAACTAAGGCTACATGCTTACCACTTGAGATGTGTAAAGATAGACCAGAGAATACTTCCACAGCTTGCCTTGCAGGATATCTGAAGTCGACATCTTTTAGATGAATTTCACCCCGATGTTTTCCAGTACAATCCCAGTCGAATCAATAGCATTGATTTTTGGCTTTCTTTTGATTGTCTTGAACAAGTTACTTGCAGCAGCTTTTCCTGATGATAATGCGTTTAAACACGACGAAGATTGTAAAAATGCCCTAGTGCAAGAAGTCAGAAAAACTTAGTTAGGGAGGTAATAATGTCCAATGGAAACAGTAGATACCGTTAGATAAATTGCAAACCTCTCTCTTCCAGGTAGAATGTTTATTTTCACTGATTAGATAGGAGTATTTGTGGCAAAAATATCCTACCTAAAAAATTAATTGGAATTTGCATGTAAAACTAATGAAATTTTCCCATAAGAATAATGCTGAACTTACATTCCACCATACACCAGTGCAACTATAATGCTGATAACCTGTCCACCTGTGTAACCTTTCTCCAGGATTAATTTAGATCCATACCAAATGGTTAGTCCATAACCACCAAAAAGTGTTAGGTTCATGAGTAAAGACTTGTGTCCCACATTGATCCAAGAGATGGAGACAGAGCGGTTAATATGTAAGTAAGGGCCCAAAACCTAACAGCTTAAGCTTTTGGATCAGAGTTGGATTCCTGATTTACATATTGGCCTCTTTAGTGAACTCTCTCGAGGTGTTTCTTCCTAACAAACTGGTATCAGAGCTTCAGGTTGTGAGACTGGTTACTCATGGGCAAGTGGACTCTTTTCCGAGTTGGACTGATGAAAATTTTCTTCTTGATGATGGACCGAAGTGCCAACAAGTTTGGTTGGTGTTGGACCAGGTGTGCCATAGGTTTGGCAGGGGGTCCGGTTGATGTTAGACTAAGGAGTCAAGGGTTAGCAAGGGACCAAAATGTAATTTGGATGTTGTAGAAGAGTGGGTCCATGTTTGGGAGAAGAGGTGACCTTGGTGATAAAGGTGAGCTTGCATTGAGTATTAAAGTGGGCTCGAAAAAAGGGCTTGTAAATTTGAGTTTAATGTGGGGGTTACTCATGAAGGGGAAGATTTGTTAGGTTCATGAGTAAAGGGTTGTGTCCCACATTGATCCGAGAGATGGAGACAGAGCGGTTAATATGTAAGTAAGGGCCAAAAACCTAACAACTTAAGCTTTTGGATTAGAGTTGGATTCCTGACTTACATATTGGCCTCTTTAGTGGACTCTCTCAAGGTGTTTCTCCCTGACAAAAAGAATAAAAGACACTGTTCCTAATCCTAGCCCTGAGACCAATCCTTGTCTGGCAGAAAACACGTTGACTTTTTCCAGTTTCTTGGCATACTTAGTGATGGCTTCATTTTCTGCTGTTAAGGACGAAACCTTGTGCAAGAATTTGAAAATAATAATGTCAATCTTCTTCTTTAGGATAACAACCTAATTCAAGATCATGTCAACGAACTAAAATGGAAGAATATCAAGTAACATACAGTTTTAGTTGCCCCAATAGTCTCTTCCACCACACCTCTGGCTTCAGAATAAGCAGCTTGAGTGTTAATGGACATTTTGGTAAGAATAATCACTGTAACCCCTCCAACAATGAGAAGAGAAGGAATCATTGAAACCAGGGACAGAGAAAGAAGCCATTCTCTAGCAAAGGCAATTAAAAACCCACCAAAGAAAGGTTGACAAGTATTGGATAGACTTTCCTATCTGAAAAAAAATGAATTGTCAAGCAAGTCCAGGAATACGTGAAGGGAATAAGAGGAGAAATTCAATATTTATGTAACTTGAAACTGATTAGAACTTCTTAAGGGATAAAATGAATTATTACCTCTGCACTCATTGCATCTTGAATGGTTATGGCATCACTTGAAGCCATCCCAAGGGCTTGTCCCACTGTCATTTCAGTGTCAAAGTATCCAATTTCTTGTCTTAACAATGTTTCAAAGTACAAGCCTTGTAATCTAGAAGCCTGTCTTTCTCCTGTGATGGTCCAGCATGAGACCTCTGCAACAAAACCAGCAAAGAATGCATATTGTTCATCTAGAGGTTAACAGTATGTTCCTGCATTAATCGAAGTGATCAATGCTATGATCTGCCTTAATAGTGAGAAAAAGATGAAAATGGAAAAGTACTAGTGTGTTAATATAGAGCGTGGTAAATTTGAAGATCATTAACTGTATATTACACAACAAAGAAGATGGCAAAAGAAATTGTAGCCAAACAACACAAGTTACAAAAATCAGAAGTTGAAGTAAAACAAACATTGGAAACTGGATTTCGGCATAAAAATGGTTACATGGTATTCTTTGCAAGATTTTCCCTGATTCCCTGCAAGTTAATACAGATTATTTGGCTCCTCTCTAAGTGAAGTAAACCATGTTTAAGCACATTATTAAATCAAATTAATCTGATTTTCATGATTTTATCTGTATGTAATACTTGTACACGAAATGGGACTAAAATTTATGTTATGAATTAAAATTTGAAATCAAATTCCAGTCACGATGCATGTTTTTAATGAATATTTATTCCAATAGTACCGGACAGTACTATTTGTCTTCAATTATTAATAAATTTTATGTCCTTTTTTTAAAAAAAAAATTAATTAGTTAAACACGTATTTAGTTCGATTACAACTTATATCAGACCCTCTTCAGTGAAAGTAATTAGCAAGGTAACCTGTTAAAAAGGGTAGGTTTTGATTAACAAGTATGTCTAACCGATACAACTGATTAGGATTAGCGAGATCAAGCAAACCATCCAAATCCCTAGCTTCTAGTTCTATGTATTGCATTCCCATCATGCAAACTTATTAGTTAATAACAGAACTGAAAATTATAGTGACACCCACGCATTTGTGCAGCAATCCCTGCTCCAGCAGCCAAGTATAGTAACTTGATAGATACCTGCAAATGCCAAAGATGTAAACTTCATTAAATGCATGTATCGTGACTGGGACCTTGGATAAACGCTTGTATCTTGACCTATCCGGTTTACTTGGTGAATGTTAGAAAAATAATATGTATGCTTGGTTACATACGTTTCGCTGTTGTTAGTTTGGCTGTGAGTTTGATGTGATGTAGTCCTAATCATGAGCAGAGCTACGTGTATCCAAGTGGGTGCAAATGCCCGCACGTTACTTTGACACATTTTTTTTATCTATATTGACCCTCAAACATCCACGTACTGTGCACAGAAAATAGACTTGAACCTAACTAAAAACTAAAGATTACTTGTGTACACAATTTTCGTGTATAATTTTTGGTCAACTTACACGAGTTTTTGGGTCGTGATAGAGACATAATAATTCAACTTGTGACTGGGCTACTATCTTTCTCGACGCATTTCTTTAGACAAAGACTTTGTTTCTTTTCTTATTCGGATGTTTTTTTGTTAGCAAATATCATTTTTTTAAGTTATGAATCTTTCAAATCATTCCAGCAGGAGATTCGGTCATGTAGCAATAAGAGAACAAAAATAAATAGAAAACTTTGAAGAAGGCAATGAATTAATCTCCCCTTAAGATGTACTTGTGGATAATCTTACACATGGTTTCGGGAAGGGCGAGGAGGATGGGATCAAGAGCATTATAAGTTATAGTTTGTGTAGTTCAAATTGGTTCGGGCAATTCTCAGAGTTTTGGTTTAACGGTGAACTTAGTTGTATGAGTTAACAAATTCAATTTTATATCTAAGTTGTATGAATGTATACCAAAAATTATAAGAATTACATCAGCCACATTGAATTAGATAGAATCCAACTTGTGAGGCCCTGATTCAAAATAATGTTAGATTAGAGAGATAATGAACGAATATTTTCACTTACATGATTGATACAAAAACTTCAAGCAATACAGATAGAGATGTGGTCCTTAATAAAAACAAAAACGGAACGGTGCTTTGGCATATCTAAAATACGTGAAGGACTAATCTTACATATAGTACTTATTTCATTGTTCCAATTCTGTGAATTTGATGTTGACATTATAAGTAAGTTGCAGATATTTGAACTCAATTTTTTTCCTCCTGTTTTATAGAATAAATGTTTACCTTAGTTTATATCAGAAATCACACGTCGAAGTGGTTATCATTATTCGTTTTATATTTGCTTGCATGTTCATGTGTACATATATATTCAAAGTTTACTTCTAACTTATTAGTTATTCGTGTGTGTGTGTGTGTGTTACGCAATTATAGTTTGACGAGGAATAATTTGGTCGGTTACCCTAAAATTTTGGATATATCCAGACCATCTAATCGTTTGTCATCGTTTATCAGTTTGTTGACCTATTTGAGCAGCCATAGTTGTAGAGTATGTTTGCCGATTTACAATGATCACTCATTGCACAATAATTTGGAGAATCAAAATTGACTGCTACAGACATCATCTCAATTACGCATGGGCTATAAATCGAACATTTTGAATATTGAGTAGCACTATCCTTAATAGCCCTAGAATTTGATGGCTGTGTTCTACCTTGGACGCTTAAACTATAGACACACTTTCATTTTAGTCCTCAAATTTTAATTTTTGGCACTTTGCCCTTTAAAGTGTGAAATTTATCCCAATTTAATTCATAAACTTCAATTTTGGACACTTTAATTACCCCCTAAAGAATAAAATTCGTCCTAAGAGATTGTCAAAATTAACAGAATGATAGGCAAGTGATACTCAAAGTTTAAACGCTAACGTGTGATGGATTTCATACTTTAGTGCTAAAGTTTTTAAAATAAAAGTCTAAGGATTAAAGTTTGATGGGTTTCATAATTTAGGAGGTAAAATGTCCGAAACGGGAGATTAAGGATTGAAGTTGGAGTGTGTTTATAGTAAGGATCTAATGTGGAATTTATCCTATTTTCAGTATTGATTAATATTTATCTTATATACTATCATGAAAGATCTACTTGAACAGGTAAATAAAAAATGGCAGAACAATAATCACTCGTGCTCAACCAGAGAAAGTAAAAAAAAAAAAAAGAAAAAAGAAAAAAGAAAACAAATAAAAAACAAAAGATTTCTCTTCTTTAACCTTTTATTTAAAAAAAAAAGAAATTTAAGTGTAAACATAGGTATATCACATTTGAACCCACAAAATCGGCCTCATGCTTTTGCAAAGCCACGTCGTCATTCTTGCCAATGAACACAGCCCAGCTCAGCTAATGATCGATATGCCTTTACCAAGACTACCAAGCATACAGCACCCACAAGGGCAAAAAGGTCATAAAGGGGCATTTCCAGCAGATGGATGATAAAAGTAGGGACAAGGGGCTTCTCCAATTGAGATTTTGTCCCGTTCTGTTCTGTCCTGATGTGTAAACTGACACAATTTTCGTGTAAATTAATATATTTTTTGTGTAATAGTTAGTTTTATACTAGTTTAGTTATAATTCACGTTTATACCAAATTTGTATCTATTAAAATCGAAATTATGCCATTTTATACAATTGGACAGAATTGAAACCGGAGAGATCCCATTTGCATAAAAGTAGGTGTAAATCCCCATTCATATGTCAACGATTTATAATTATTACGCCTTTGTGGTTAAGTGTTGTGCTATTATTAAATGCCTTAACAGATATCATTATCTCATTAGGGCTATTATCACTTTACCCTTTTAACGTTCGATGCAGCTATCAATTTCCCCCTTAACGTTATCTTTTAGTCACTTTACCCTCAAAACTAACGGTCAAACTTAATGGAGTTTATTAATTAAAGTAAAAAGACAAGTTTAGCAATTGAAATTATTATCACTTTACCCCCATAAACTATAGTCTCATTATCAATTTACCCCATAGAGTTATTTTTTATACAATTTATCTCACCATTAAACCAATTTAGCAAGTTAAAAAACTTTAGAAGTAAGTACCCTCCATTTTGTATAATAAAAGCAATAAAAGAATTTAGAGTGAAGAAAAACAAGTCAAAGTATTAATCTCTTTCTCTTGACAATCTTAATATTAAAAAAAAAATAGAAAGATTGGGAAGGGGAGGGAAAGGAGGGGAGAGATAGAGAGAGAGAGAGCTCAATTCTTTTTTTTTAAAAATACAAATAAGAAAGAATTAAATATTTTTATTATTTTAAAATTATTTTACTTTACTGTTTACCACCAGGTTTCAATCCTAATTATAACAACCTTAAATTAACGATAGAATGATACATAAAAGGGTAAATATTTTATTTTTAATGATATATATAAAATGGTAAATATATTTAAAAATGTTTGACCATACTAGTTAGATTAACGATGAAGTAAAATGCCTAGAAAATAATGTTAGGAATTAAAGTTATTATATCACTATAATTTAAAGGAATAAAGTAATAATAACAATATAGTAATGCTATAGAATAAAAGAGTATTTTTGTCCAAAACTTTTTAACATGTTGAGTTAAATTACTTATGGGAGTAAGTGACTAAAAGATAACGTTATGGGGTAAACTGATAGTAGTAATATAGTTGAAGGGGGTAAAATGATAATAACCCTTATCATTACCATGTTTATTTCATCTGTTGAGAGGAAAACTTGTGCACATGCTTGTTTACTTCGAATATTATGGTATGTCCCAAATCACTTAAGAGAATTTAAAAGATTTTTTTGCATTTAAGAAGTAATTATGGAACCTTCAACTTATCCATATTTACTCACAGGGCTGACTTTAACCAAATTCTTGTGCAAGAAGGACTTCCAAACACTCAGCTAGTTTTAGTAAGTTTTCATAAATATATTCAATCTGATTTATTGTATAAAGTAAGGTGTAATTTCCATAGCTTTAATGAAAAAAAAAAAAGAAGAAAAAACTGAAGCTTTCCTTTTAAGACGTGATAGCACCATCTTAATAGCTTAATAGAACAACTTCCATGCCTAGAAACCTTTGTTTGTTTCTTACTCGAAAACAAAGCCTAAAACTCATGTGCGATGCAATTAATATCCTAGGGGCTAATTGATACAATTAGATAACATGTAAGTAACTTGAAAATGTCCTATTCCTTAAAATAAGCATCTTCCAATTACTTTTTTTTTAATATCATGGTTGGATGGATTTCTCTTCCTTTTGCCCTTTATCATATTATGAATTTTGATTATCATAATAAAGTAATTAGAGGTCAAAAATTTCAAACCCTTTACAATTCAAAAGGATTTAATTTTAGGAGGGCTAAATCCACACCCATTCATATTAAATTCACACTCCATGTATTTATTAGACATTGATACCCTTAGCTTTTAAACATTAAATCAAGAATTTTTGCAGTAATATATTTTCTAAAGAAAAATAATTCACACCTCAATCTTTATGTAGGTTTTACATACAAATTTCCTTTTCTTGTTTATTTTGTTAAACCTTTTTTAACACTTACACTTAACCAAAAGGAGAACATTAGTATGAAGTCAATATGAATGTATATTCCACCTTGAAAAATGCTTCGACTTTGGTATTATGAAATTGAAATATGTAGATATTGCTACTTACATCATTATTAGTAACTGAAAAATTGAGGTGTCAACCTTCTGTTAAGAAAATTGAGGTGTCCGTGGTTAGTTCGGTCGGACCTAGATGCGTTAGAGGCAATCCAGGGGTTGGAATGGACAGTGGGGCATTGTTATCGCGAGGCAAATCAGGTGGCGGATGCCTTAGCCAAGGTAGGGGCACAGTCTAAGGGTATTGTCTTGTATACATCACAGTCTGAGTTGCCAAGATTGGCAAGGGGGGCCTTGGGTTTAGATAGGTCGCAGACTCCCGTTATTCGTGTTCGACCTACTCGTTACTAAAGCCTTTGTAACTTTGTAATTTTGATTTCTTGCTTTTAATAAAAAATTTTATTTATAAAAAAATACTAATTATATTTATTGTTTAAAAAAATAGTAACTGAAAATTTTCAATTTCTAAATTAAAATTAAAATTATAAATTAATATTGTTATGCACTTGTAAAATATTTGAAGATATTCTCTGTAACAATGCAAACATTAGTTTTTCCTCTTTTTTGCTATGTAAATATATGTTTCTTAAAACTATAAAAAGCATCAAATATACTTAAAAGGCAAAGCTATTTTTGTCCAGTAGATGCATAGGATGTGGATTTGGCCCCTTTGATTTTTTGTATGGGTTCTATGCTTTCTAAGAAAATGTGCACCCAATGTTGTTTTGTGCAAAAATGGATTTAAACCCCACCTCCTGGGCCCCCCACCCAAAGTTTTGTGTTCATCCTATTCTATTATGGGATAGAATACATTATATATATTTTTTAATATGCCAAGGATTTAAAATACCTACACAATGGAAAAGAAAAGCAAAATATTTGATTGCCTTGTTTAAAAAAATTAGCTTTTGCTCCCTTAGAAAATTGAAACTTTGAAACATGTTTTATAAGTTTTAAACTATTGCTTGCGCAAAAATTTGAGAACATTTTAAATTATTTACTAAAGATTAGACATGTTAAAGTTTTTTTTTCTTGAAAGGTAGATATGTTAAAGTTTGCTATCTTAGGGTCCGTTTGTTTCGGGTGAAAATCTTTTTTCAGGAAAATATTTTCCTAATTTCCCATGTTTGGTTGCACAAAAGTTACTGAAATATTTTACTATGTAAAAGATTTTTACTCATCTTATAAAAAACAATTTTCCTTCCAAACTTACTAAAGTTTGTTTCCTAAACACAAGTGTCCTGCCTGCTAAAGGTGTCTGTCAAACTTTCAAAACTGGTAATATGTTCAAAATAAATAAATAAATAAAGGCCTCACCGTGCTCACTTCGATCTCTTTGACATCGATGAGTTTGCCTTTGATGCTGACGAATTGCTGGCGATGCCAACACTGCAAATTTGTTAATAATTTGGATTATTGTCAATTCTCACTGTCTTTCTTCAGTCATTTTAATTTTCTTTGCAGTATTTTCTTAATCAAAATTATGTATCTTTAGCTCAAATATGCCTTGATTTTAGTGCCTTTGAGGTTGTGATTTGATCGTTGGTATATGATCGTTAATCCAAATTTCATATACGAGTCAATAAAAGCACTAATCATATGAAAAAGAACAGAGCCTGTTTCTTCAACTTGAGAAGATATTCATGTCTGCTGTCCACTTTCATTGATTGACCTTAATCACGAGCCATTTCATGGTCTTGATATGTCTAACTTGGTAATGTCTTTTATGGTACCAATAGTTACGAGTCAACAAATTGTCCTTATGATTGACCTGGATTCTTCTATTTTGAGTGGTTCAGCTATGTTTAGTGGTAGGAACTAGGCAGATCGGTTTCCGGTTATGGAAGAGAAAAGCGGATGGCAAAAGGAGTTAAATTTTGATGATAAAAATGTAGTTAAAAATTTCAACCAAACATCAGAAAATATTGAAAAAGGTGAATATTTTCTCGGAAAAGAATTTCCACAAAAAATATACTTTACTTCCTACCAAACATCACTTTTGGTTGTTGGTGGTCACTGGTCATCAATGATGCTCATTGGTTAGGAATCACACCTTAATATGACGGCAGGGCAGTTGCGCAATAGTCATAACAGTATACGGCTAAACCACTAACAATCTACTATAACTGATGAAAGAGATGGTTACCAGTGTCACAATCTAATTCTAATTTGTTATTTGCCCTTTTTAGTCTGGCCTCCGAAGATTAGTTATGGTTTAGACTTAAATGGTTATCATAAATGGCATAGACCAGACATTAATAGCCAGTTACTAAATTTGAAAAGGACATTTGCACCTTAGTGCCCTAAAGTAATCACACAAATTTCTTATGTTTAACACTTTTACATATAGTATATGGACTTTTAGAATCTTTCTGATTGTCAAGTTCAGATTACGAACCCTAAGTTAGGGGAGCAGAAGTGTGGGAATGAATGGGAGGATAAAAAAAAAAAGCGTCTCATAAATTTCTATATTAAATTGCATACAATTTTTTTTTGTTTATATTGCGCGCATTCACATCTAATATCTCACAATTTTCATTTTTCTATTTATAGCGCATACATTCACATTTAGACACTTTCTGGATTTAATTTCGTCTTTTTAAGAAATTAACACTTTGGACTCCACTTATCTAGTCTTTGAAGCCCTTGTTAGAGAAGCCAAATTTAAAGTAAGTGAACATGAAAAAAATATGAATACTTACTTAAAAAATTTTAGATAGTCAGTAAACATTGGATTTTTGGCATAGTTAAGATGAATGAAAGTTAATCGAGCCACTTAATGTGAATACAAGTAATCATTGACAATAAATTGTTTATAAATTATTCTACAACTGATATGTGTGGGGAACGAAAACTAAAGATTAAACTAAAATGATTGTTCCTTCCTGTTTACCAGTTTTATTTTTCTCACAAATTTTTTTGGATAATCAATATAATCAACTTGCAAATTAAATAGCAATAAATCATTACATGAAGTATATTTGAGTACCGTGCTACTAATTAACATAAAATTGATCATATACTTGGACTACCTTTTTGTTTCGTGAATTGCATCTAAGAAATTGATGATAGTGGAGAGAACTAAGCAGACATGATAAAAGCCCAAGCTAGTAAGATAGAGGAAGGATTATCTACTCCATGAATTATGCTTTCTACATTTTATTTCCATTCTGTTTGAGTTTAGCAATCTTTTTCAGCTTGGAAGAAATGCAATTTTATTCCTCAATGTTTGGCATGTGTGCTAAACCAGGAGGTTCCTAATGTTTTGATAAAACAAATCTAATCCCAAAAGTTTTAAAATTTGGGTACATTTAGGATAATTAACAAAAAATTAACAATAGTTGACGATCAAAATCAATCAATAGCTTCGACTTTGCATTTTTTGTCCCAACGTTTCAAAGTTGGGTCATTATGGTTAGATTTTAAATAGTGATATTGACGATTTTTTAAGGGTAAATTCCACTTTGTCCCCTCAAACTATAAGCAGAATCCCACTTCAATCCGTAAACTTCAAAATTGGACATTTAAATCCTTAAACTATAAAACATGTCCCGCTTTACTCCAATTTTTAATAGAATGCGCGAAACTTAAAGTTATTATTAACATGTCCCGCTTTACTCCAATTTTTAACGGAATAGTTGCCAATTCTGTTAGTTATTATTATAATTAAAGTTAACCAAATCCAATAGGGATATAAGTGTAATTTCATGAAATCCAAAGCTTTTGATATGCTCCAAATTTTTAAAAATTATTCATTCACCTTCTTTCTCTTCCTCCCCATCTCTCCCTTCATCCCAGCCACACACCGCCCATGCCACCCACTACCACCTTTTGCCACCAGAAGCTCTAACCCTACCCTTGATTCGTAGCCTTCCATTTGTTAATTCTTGTAACACAATCACAAAAAAAAATTTAAATATCAGAAACCAAATCAATATCAACAAAAAATTTTACAACAAAAAAAAAAAGAACGAAGAAATTCAAAGAACATGCTTGGTATGAACAATTCTGGAGGGTCTGACATTTTTGGGGTCATTATTAACAAGCTACGAGGCTCAGGACATGCAACTCCGTTTGGACAACCTACAGCCATAGACAACAAAGAGGAAGAGTTGAAAAAAGAATCTCCTCCAACTCCAACATAATTACACATTCCCAAACCCAATCTGAATCTCATCAAGACTACCTTCTGTTGTTGGTTTGGATATGAACACCCATTCATCTTTTTACTTTTAATCTATTTTCTTATTCACAGATCCAAACCTATGTAAAAGATAAACATATTCACGAATCCCACAAAAATTAGTCGTGCCCAGATCAAATGGAAATGAATTTAGGAGATGATATAAAAATTGAAAAAAATAATAACAACTAAATACTTTTATTAGCACAAAATAAATGTGGAAAAATAATGGGTTTTAAAAGAGAGAAAGGGATAGGGGCGGAACTTGGTGGTGGGTCATGTGGTGGGAAGAGAAGAGAGCAATAGAGCAATGGAAGGCTAGGCCGATAGAGAAAGTATGGAACTAGAGATTTTTGGTGGGGTGAATGAAGAAGAGGGGATAAGAAATTGGTTGGGGTGGCTATTCAAAGAGGAGACAAAAAACAAGTTACAGGTTGTGATAAGTACAAACGGTGATGTATTGGTATAGCAAACATTTTGTGATTTCTTCTATGATAAGTGTCTTGTGTTTTTGGATTCATCACTGGGGAAGAGAATGAAGTAGTAAAGCGTGGCAGATGATGATGGCAGGAGAAAAGGGAGATGATGGTGTAGCAGTGGTGGATGTGCAGTTTTGGAGGAAGAAGGCAGTGAAGAAAGAAAGAAAAAAATAGAAAAGGAAATGAAAGGAAAATAGAAAAAAAGGTGGAAAAAATAAAAGAAAAGGAAAGTTTAAAAAATTGGCTTTTTTGTTTAAAAAAGGGAAAAACTTTAATTATTATTAATTAAAGAGGTAAAATTATCTTTATCTCTCTGTCTCTTTGTTTTTTTTATATTGGGTCTCATGAAATTACATTTATGTCCCTATTAGATTTGATTAAATTAAATTATAATTATAACCTAAATGAATTGGCAACTATTTTGTTAGGTTTTGTGCATTCTGTCAAAATTTGGAGTAAAGTGGGATGGATTGTATAGTTTAAGGATTTAAATGTCCCATTTTGAAGTTTAGGGACTGAAGTGAGATTTTGGGCATAGTTTGAGGGGACAAAATGGAATTTACCCTTTTTTAAGGACAAGAGATGCAACTCTAAATTGAAAATTCTGTTGAAAATGTGCAAAAATTAAGTTCTTTCCCTTTTCATTTTTATTTCATTTATTCATCTCACTAATTTCACATGGATTTCTTCTCTTTTGCATAGCTAGTCTCGGATTTGGCATAATATATCTATGTATCGTTTTATACTATGAAGAATTCATTATCATATAATTTTCACTTGTATTAATAATTAAACACTCAATTATGTACTATATGTAAATTAAATCGTTCATCTTTGTTTTTTCAATTTCAATGACATACCTATTTAGTTTGAGATGAAATTGATATTTTGCGGAATTCTTTGAATCATTCATTAATTATCAAGGTTAACAAATAGCAATATAAATATTTTAAAACTTCGCTATTGAAATGTTGGATTTAACTAGGAAAGCAACAAAAATAAAGAAATTTATCTTTAAAATCCTAAAAACACTTCATTAGGTACTGACATTCAATATTTTTTATAATCACAGTTACTAACTACAAGTATTTGTAGCTTACGTTTAGTAGTCATGCAAGAATTTATGTAGTAATAATTATCAAAAGAGTTTATACACTATTATAGTTGAATTCATGACATGTGTACAAAAGTTGAATTTCAATTTCAAATTATGCATAGTTATCATTCATCCAACGCTGATAGTGTATACACTGTCAGTGTAAGAAAGATTAATCCTTATTTAAAAATATATATTAAACTATAATCTTTTTACTAATTTTTGTTTTGCATATCAAATGTGTAGTGTTATCCAATTTCAACTTAACCAACTACTCTAGCCACCAAGAGAGCTTCAAAGCTCTACTTGAATGTAGGTCAAGAAATCAAATCCTTTTACTTACATATATAAATAAATTATATTTACTAAACAAAATATATTTTTTGTATATAATATTTATATATAAATATATATTTTTTGTATATTTGGAGTTGTTTTTAATATATTTGTTTGGATATAGTTGTTTTTGGATATTAATTTTGATGCATTTTAAAGGAAATTAGAATAAGTAATGTATTTCTGCAGTGTTTTTATAATTTTTATAGTTATGCATTCTTCTATCAATATAATTTAACAAATAAACAGTGATCTTTGAAATGGAGAAGCCGTGATTTTGGTTAAAGTTGTTTTCAAGAGAAAAGGTGAACTTTTATATTTTGTATAAAAAAATTGGATTAGTTTGTAATGAAACACGTAAATGTACCATTGTGACTCAAATGTACAAATAAAACAAGAAATGTACAAATGAGTCTTAAAGAATGTACAAAAGAGACATGGAAATAAAGTGATAAAATAGACTCTCTTTTTTTTTTTTTGTCAAGTGGTAAAATGGACTCATGAACAATGCTGGATTCAAGCCGCGGATTGTGTCCAGAAACTTCTAAAGTTGGAGCCTGGTCTCAGCACTGGATCTGCAGATGGATCCGCGAATCATGACCACGTTCAAAAACTTCTAAATTTTGTTTGGCATTTTTTTCATGTGTAATTTGGGTTACTTTGATCCAAAAAGATGCCTAAACTTTTGTGCAAGAATACGAACGTTTTTTTGCATCTTTTGGTAACATAGTTTTCTATATGATAACACGTATCATAAAAAAGGTAAAAAAGTTAGAAAAATAACTTTCGCCATTGATCATTCTTTTGAAGAAAATTTGACATTTACGATCAAGTTTTATTCTAAATCTTATTATATTCTAGAGGTAATTTGCCACAATCATGTAGCAAATATTTTGTGTAGCGAGGGCAAATAACATCTTAAGAGTAGTGTCTAACACGTTTCAGGATCATCATTTTCATCCCCATTTTCTTTGTGAAATTTCTCTAACACAAATTTTCGCACTTTAGCCTGCTTGTGTACCCCCCAACACCAATATCAGATTCCACGGTCAAGCTTCAAGTACAATACTTTCGTGCATCATAACACAACTTAGTTTTGTAGTTCAGGTATAACTACCTTGTACGTAACTATCAGCATACATACACCAGAAAGTTAGCAAAACTTGACGCCTTTAAACTCTCTTTTAAAGTTTATCATCTATCCAATTCATTGTAGCAAATTCAGAATGCGACAAAATGACCACATTCAATTCCGCAGTCTTGCAGAAAAATTATTTGTTTGTGCTACAAATATATCTTCCAACCCACAATTTTATCTTCCTAATTATCTTTTCATCTCACATGCATCACATCACAACAATTGCTATAATAATTATTCTAAATAATATTCAAATAATTTCCTATCCAAAGCACATCTTGCTGCTCTTGTTTGATTTGAATTTTCCATGGTTTTGGAGCTATTCATCTTTTCTTGGAATTCGGGTCTTTGACCTTGTAAAATTGTAAGTTATACGTCCCCGTGATTGCGAATTAAAACCTTGGAAACATGTGGCTGCTTACACTACAAGTTAGTGTGTTTGGATAGAGTATTATTTAAAGTATTATTTCCAATCTTAAATCCCCGGTTCAAATCTTGCTGCCAACAAATTGTGGAGGGTGGGGAATAGTCTGCAGGGTCCATTCCCTGCGGGACACCCTTAAAAAAAAAAGAAGATAGATTAGCTTAAGATTTAATTATTTAAAATATTGTTGGAATAATTATTGCATTATTTTCTATAATGTGATATATATATATGAGATAAAAAATAATAAAAAATATAAAAAATAAATTAAAAAACATATTTATGATATAAGTGAAATATTATTTGAAAAAGTTTGGCTATCCAAATACTCTTGCACCATTATGGAAGAGAACCCGAAGCTCGAAAACGGCCGGCTGTGTACAATACAGGGAAGCTTGAAGCTGTCACGTCATGAACTACATAAATCGCACTATCGAAAATTGGACCGGAAAATGTAAAGTCTGACTTTGAAATTGGAAGATTAAAAAAAAAAGCACTTAATTTAGATCACCAAACTATTAAGTAAATGTGTATTTATGTAACTTCCCCCACAACAAGTATGGTGGGTTACTAGAATATTTTAAATATGTTTAGCTCTTTATTTGGTGTTAAAACAACTAATATGGTTGAAACATCTAAAAACACCTTAAAATGACTCAAAACATCCAAAAAGAAAACACATCATAAATACCATAAAGAAGAAAAAAAAGCATCCAAAAAATATATCAAAACAAACATTATTATCGTCCATTTAACTCTCTGCCACGGCCCCCACGTCAGCTTTATTCCACAGTAACAATCTTATGGAAAAAGTATCGACATGGCATCACATGTGAGACTATTGTGCAAATATTTTAACTTTAACTTGTTTAAATATGTGCAAAAATAGTATTTAGATCCACAAAAATGATATGGGCTTGTTTTTAATTGATTCAGAGTTTGTAGAATTGGTGTTTGAAATAAGAATATTTAGATTAACTCATGTTTTCTCGCTTACTATTAAAAAAGCTACTCTAATGAATTGGTATGTGCTCTCAAAAAAAAAAAAAAAGTTGAAAGCTGATTTTGATAAAATCGATGACAAATTGTCCTTATGTGCTACATAAGTGAACGTTTTTGCTAATCAAATAATTTTTTAGTGTAAATAATTATTTTGTTATAAAGATTAAATATTGGATGGGGAAAAAGGGGGACGTAGATGAATTTGGGAGTCGGATGAGA